GGTCGTGCCACAGGCGAGTGGGGCTGCCAGCCTTGTCGCCGGAGCCACGGAACCCACCGGACCCCCTGTCCGGGCACCCCGTGACCCGCAAGGTGGGCTGCCAGGGGCTGAGCAGGGCGCGAGGCAGGCAGAGCAGGGCTGAGGTGTTTACTCTGCCTGTTGTCACCCGGCCAGGCGCTGCCGGGAACTGCCGGCCGCAAGGACAGGGGTGGGAGCGTGCGAGAGCAGGGGTGTGAGAAGGAAACACGCGGGCTGTGGGGAGACTGGGGACAAGAGGATGTGGGTTGGGGGGGGAGTCCCCCCCAAAGGGAAGCGTGTGGGGGGCTACCCTGCCCCGGGGGTTATCTGGGCGTGCACCCCGACACATGCCGTGGGAAGCGCGCATGTGCACACGTAGGTCTAAGGGAGCATGTGGGGGGTGTGTACATGTCTGCCGTACAAACACACGCATGTATACACGGGTATGGGTGCGTGCACACCTGCCCCCCCCACCCCCAGCGGGCCAGAGTGCCCCGGAGGGGGCTGGGTCATGGCTGTGCCAGGGTCTGGCACTGGGCAGACCCCCAGTGCTTCTCCCACCCAGGGAGAAGCTTCACCTGGGGTGAAGTCCATGGGTGCTTCACCTGCCCCCCCAACCAATACCCCTGGTGAAACAGCCCAGGGGGCCGCATGCCAGCCAGGCCCCCGTGCTCCATCACCCTCCCCAGCTCAGAGGGGTTCCCATGCACTGCAGCCCCACCGGGGATCTCCAGCTCCCTGAGTCACCTCTGGGTGACGGATGCAGGGGTCAGAGCTCACCTCTGGACGAGGGTCACTGGGGTTGGGGTCCACCTCTGGGTGAGGATCACCAGGGATGGGGTCCACCTCTGGGCAGGGGTCACCAGGGTTGTGGTCCACCTCTGGGCGAGGATCACCAGGGATGGGGTCCACCTCTGGGCGAGGGTCACCAGGGTTGTGGTCCACCTCTGGGAGAGGGTAACTGTGGTGGGGTTCCACCTCTGGGTGAAGGTGACCAGGGATGAGGTCCACCTCTGGGTGAGGGTCACCAGTGTTGGAGCCTGCTCCCGGGTGAGTGTTTTTGGTGGCCTTCATGCCTGGCTGCCACAGCCAGGAGCAGGACCCCGTCAGGACTGATGCTCCCAGGGCCGCCCAGCGCAGGGTCACTGATGCCACCTCTTCTGCAGATTCCAGGGCCGCCTTCACCCTCTGGACAGGCACAGCCGAGGCGCTGACCGCCGAGGTCCCAGCAGCCGAGCGCTCAGGCCAGGGGGCAGGTGAGCAAGCCCCGGAGGGCGCCCGGGGACGCCCTTCCCGTGCCCCGAGCCAAGGGAGGAAGCGGCCGGAGGCAGGAAGCCG